CGGTTTTTTGATATGAGAGCGACTAGAGACCGCCGATCAATCATCCCAACGTGAGTATCGGCCGATAGTGATCGGTAGCGATCAATCGGAGCACCCCTAATATATATATATATATATATATATAATTATTATTTTATTTTATTTTTTACAAATTGTGATCAATATTATATATAGTTATAAGTAATAGATTGTCCTGTTTCATTTCAAAATATGCCATATTATTGAACTAAAATGGGTTATTAATTTTTTTATGTTGATTTTATATATAGCTAAATTATATATAATATTAGGGCTGCCACTAACGACTATTTTTATTTCGATTAATCTATCGACTAATTTATCGATTAATCTAAATGATTAATTTCCCACAAAAAAATCAACAATTTTACTTACGAATATTTTATTAAACCAAATGAAATCCAAATTTCTATGAAATCCTTTTTTTAAAGCAAAAGTAAAGTGCAACAGAGTGCAAGAAGCAAGTTTCCATCTCATAGTCCAAATCACTGAAATCAAAGTTCACTCGGTATTATAGTGTAAGAATGACAACATATCCACGTGTTCAGGTCTACTAATAATAATAAAATTATAATAAAAACACTTTTTAAAGGAGTATTTACCAGAAATGTTATTTACCAGAATTTATTTAGGAGAAAAATGTAAATGTGCAGTATTTCTGAAAAAAACGGAAAAAAAAAACTTTTTATTTGTTTTAAATAAATTAATTGGAGATGCTTTTGATTATTAAAATTTAATAGAACCATTAAAATGGAATCCAGAAAATAATGGAAAACAGAATTTGGTAAAGATAAAACTGTAAAACTCAATTAATTAGACAGGCTTTTTGATTAATAAAATTTAATTTAACCATTAAAACAGAGTATAGAAAAATGAAAATGGAAAAAAACTGAATTTGGAAATAAAACGGATTTCATAGGGCCCTATAATTATAATTAATTTTTTTGTGGTAATAAAAATAGATGTAAGTGAACAATAGCCTTTAAAATGACTTAAAATACATGTATACTAGCAATGAGGCAATAATAATTAGTTCAAATAAAGTATCAATATGGTTCATATGGTCATCATATGGTTTTAACAATTTTGTTCAATAAAATACATAATGTATTATAAACAATAGAGTTAATGTACATTACGCATTACAACACGCAAGCAAAATGAAGTCGAGGATTTTAAAAAATTGAATAGTCGAATAAAATCGACGAATCGCGATAGCCCTATATAATATATATACACTGCTGGTCAAAAGTTTGACGTAAGAATTTATAAGTCTCTTGTGCTCACAAAGGCTGTATTTATTTAATTAAAAGCACAGTAAAACAGTAATATTCTGAAATATTACTACAATTTAATATAATTGTTTTTTTATTGCAATATATATTAAAATGTAATTTATTCCTGTGATGTCAAAGCTAAATTTTCAGCATCATTACTCCAGTCTTTAGTGTCACATGATCCATCAGAAATCATTCTAATATGCTGATTTTCTGCTCGACACATTTCTTATTATTATTATTAATGTTGAAAGCAGTTGTGCTGCTTCATATTTTTCTAGAAACTGCAATACATTTTCTTTCAGTGTTGTGTGATGAATAGAAAGTTTATTTGAAATAGAAATCCAAATTCAATTGATCCTTGCTGAATAAAACTATTAATTGCTTTAAAAAATGACTGACCCAAATTTTTGAACAGTTGCTTAAATATAAATATATATGGCAAGGCAAGTTTATTTATATAGCACATTTCATACACAATGATTAATAAATGAGTAATCATAAAAAAGGAAAAATCATGAAAAGAAAATGAAAATAATTATAATAAATGAATATATGTAATATAAATAAAATGTAAAATATTCACAAATTAATTTAGCTTTACAAAATATTTAATATCCATTGACTAGGCTGTCATCAGACTTTGGAACTGACACAAGGCGCCACAAAAAGGTTAGTTGGCCAAACGTTACGGTTATCAGCCAGAGTGATAATCTTAAAACAGACAGATATTGGCTGATTAATCAGCCTGAACTGTAGAGCAACATAGAAATTCAGTCTTGAAAACAGCCCAGTAAACTGCAGTAGCCTGTTATTATTACTCCGTTATATACAGAAACCACTGCAAGAGTTGCACACAGAAAGGATGGCATTTAAATGCTTCTGACATGTGGATCTGCTTCAAGAATTACCTGTCAAGTTAGTGAGGCACCAGTCTTAGTGTCTCTCAGCTAATCACAAAGTGTTGCTGTAGTTGATGATCTTGCTAAATTATAAAGATGTGAAACTATTACATAAGTTGTGGAATTTATTTGTGTGTGTGTGCGTGTGTTTTGGCCGGGCAATAGGACAGTTGAAAGTGTGACTTTATCCAACCAGTGTTAATTTAGTATCATTGACATGCTATTATAGTTTTTATTAATATTTTGAATCCGTTTTTATTTTTAGATTTTCTGTTTTCAATGTCATTTTAAAGTTTTAGTAATTTTGTCATTTTTACTAGTTTTTATATTTAATTTTTTTTATAAATGTTATAATAGTTTTTTTATTATTTTTTATTTCAGTTTTAGTATCATCTATTTTAGGACATCAGGTTAAACTAATTGAAAATGAGAAATGTTGCCTTGACCACTAGCTGTATATATGTTCAGTTAACATTTATTATATTTCAAGTAACAAAAATGTTTTGGTTTTTGTTATAGTTTAAATTTTAGTTTTAGTTAACTATAATAACCCTATATCCAATAAAATCTTTACGTTTATACATTTATTATTAGTATTTTTTATTTTATTTTACAAAAAAACAAAACAATATTGTTTGTTGAAAATATAAACATATTTGTGGCATATTAAAAATAATAACTAAAAAAATTATATTTTTATGACTGCAATATACTCAAAAGTAATAATAAATATCTGGAAACCGCAAATGTGCATTATCCATTGACAAAGCTGTTGGTAGATTATGAAGCTGACAGAAGTGTTGACACAAGTAGGCCTGTCACGATAACATCTTTTTGTTGTGCGATATATTGCCCCAGAAATAATTGCGATAAGCGATATTATTGTCATTTTAAAGACCATTTTATGCCACTGAATATATAATCATAATGTAACAGCATAATAATGCAAGAAGGCCTACACACTTCCAAATGACAACAAACTTTTAATTTTTAAGAATATTTGGATCATGGACAAAATATTAGATACCTTAAAAAACCTGAATAAATAGTAAATAAACA